TTTTATCACTAAATTAGTGTCAGCCATTTTTAAAAACCAAGGAGATGGAGTGTTCTCGGGGAAACATCCAATCATTTGGTATCACTGGAAAGCCCTGAATGTGGTCTGTACAGGACTCCAGACTTACAACTGTGACGTGTGAGGTCTCAGAGAAATTCACTCAAATATAATGTCCACTACAGAGGCAAAAACTCCATAGCTGGGTCTCAGGAGGATATGTGTGGTCATATCACAAATTTTGTTTAAGGTTGTCTAGAAATAAGGAGTGGTACAATATATATATATATATATATATATATATATATGTAATAATTAATTCTGCTTCTGTGCAGGTGTTCTTACCTGGACGCTGTCACTCATTCAGTGGAGAAATTAGCTGAAATATGGAGAATGGAACATCACTCAATCCAGCAGATGACTTTAAATATGAATTATGTTCCTAATGTTCACAAATTATTGTTTGTTTCATGTTAATAAATGTTCTTCAATATTGCTTTGTGAAGTATTATCATATACATAAATATCGCACAGCTGATATACATCTCTTTTGAAGAACAAGGTGAATTTACTTTAAATTGCATTATATTTTGATATACAAGTTAATAGTATAAGTTCCATACATATTGAAAGTGTCATGTAAAACATTACATTAACTGTTTGAAAATGTTTAGTAGTTGGATAATTCAACAACCAATGACAGACAAAGGGGAATAATCTGAAAAGTAAATGTAGACCTATTCTATGACAAGCATGTGAATGTTGCATCAACACTATGAATTAAAATTAAATTACTTAACTCAGATAGTCTATAGATTCTGAAATGTACATCTAACTCATGAATTATTGCATAATAGCCCCAAGATTTATTGAGGAGAGGAGATGACGTGTGACATATACAGTGGTCAGTATTTAAGGTTCGATGGATGTAGTACTGATAAAGTCTCTGGTTGAACTTGTGCCTTACAGTCCATTTGATTGTTTGTAAATGAATGCAAACACAGTATCAAAACCATCCTAAAGAGAGACAGGTCATCTTCTTTAAGCCCACTATAGACCCACAAGGACAAAATAGTTTATTTCTCTTTTCTCCAAAAAACGTCTCTAAGTAACAGTATCTGTCAGGTGGTCACAGAGAAAGAGCGCACAAAGATGAATAATCCACAGAAACAGACTTCGATACAAATATTACTCAGGAAACCGAATAAACACACCTTAACATTGATGGGGACAGGGCAAAGGAACTGTTTGAAACTTGAGTTTCAAACAGAACCAGATAAAAAGTGTCCCAAAACTGAGAAGCACAAGCATGCATGGCAAGTTGAAAAAGTATGAAACACCAATTGTGAAATGTAAAATGCTAATTGTTTACATTTACACACTTTTCTGATGGGTGCATATTCTAATGAAGCCATTATTCTGCAGAAATTCTAGATTAACTATACTGATGGACAAAGACACCAATATGTTAAGGTTCTTTATTTGTCACATACATAATATCCATGTGATGCAATGTAGTGAAATTGTTTTCTTGTAGTTTCTCGTCCCACAATGCAACAATACTAACAACAAGCTAGAAGCAAATAAACCGATAATACAAACATAAATACAGAGTAAAATGATCTGTGTCTGTATATAACGTGTGTATAAATGTAATGAAAAATTCTACAGACTCATAAAATGTCCTCATTCAATAGTCTGATTGCCCGAGGATAAAGACGCCTTCTCGGTCTCTCTGACAGTAAACTGAGTCCAGGATGATGAAATTCTCTAATCATTCTTTTAGCCCTGGTCCTGCAACTCTGAATCTAATTGTTTTCAATGCAGGGGAGCAAAGTCATGATGCATTTCTGTGCC